TCTGGGAAACACCAGAAACATTACTCTGTTCTAGTGCTCATTTATGCATCTAATTTGAAGAAAAATGTCTTTTAAGAACTTATAAACACACACTTGTATTAACTATTCAAGTGGATATTTTTGAACTAATCTACAAAAATACAATAACTGGTCACCATTTACAATTTTCTAATCGAGGGTAGTCGCCATAATATCAAAATTTGTACTCATTAAGCCTTGACATAAAAGTAAGATATGTCAAAAAAACTTTTTCAAACATTATTATAAAATATCATGGCACTTTTTTTTTACAGATATTATCTTGGTGTTCTAGTTGAACAGTCTCTCAAGCCATCCAAGCAACATGCAGTTGTTAAGGGCAGTGTAAATAGGGTTTTATATAGCACCTACCAAAAAATATTGAATACAAGTCTAGAGAGGTTATAATGTCATTGGTTAGATCATATTTGGAGTATTGTGTTCAGTCTTGGGCTCCTTACCTTAGAAAGGACATTGAATTGTTGGAAAGGGTTCAGAGGAGGGCTACTAGGATGAAAATATTGTTATACCTTGGCACGTTAAGGTCCCCGAAATAGTTTTCTATCGAAAAAAGAAAAGTTAAGAGGGGGGGGGGGGTCTGATTGAGGCATTTTAGACTGTTAAAGGAATCGATAGTGTTCATGCATCATCTTTTTATGTATACTTTAATGGTGATAATAATAGTGGAAACAAATATAATTTTTGACAAGGTAGGCATCATCTTCATCTTTTTTTCAGGGTGGTTAGGTCTTTGAAATGGGTTGCTCACAGATTTAGTGGATGTTCTTCGTTTTAACGAAAAGCTTGATAAATATTTTAATGATAAGGGCTGGTTTCGAGTGTTTTATTTTTAAGAATTAGTTGGTGGAACGGCCTTGTTGTTCTTAAATAATATGTATATTTGTACACTTAGTTACCCGAAATAATGGTGTTTTATTTTTATATATACATACAAAAATGGCAGCTTAACACCCTTTGGCATTCTACCTTAGACTACAAGTCCTACAAGCTAACTTATGGTTTCCAGCTGTTCACTTACACTTATATTACACTAATTATTTCGTTAGTAAACATATAATTAACGTGAAAATATCAAGGTATCTACAAAATGTTCTTGCAAGTTCCATATTCGTGGGTTGATTGTGGTCTCCGAGTGGAAAATGGTGAAACTGATTTATTTTAAGCTCAGCCTGATGAATTAATGGTTCGTTTGATCCTAAAATGAGAAACTGAGGACTTCTATCAATCTCTTCAACTGCAAGCAGTATCCACTGCCCAAAACGATAACCACATAATCAGAGTTCTCTATGTTTTTTTTAGCTATATCAAAGCACAACCTCTATTATTAAATAGTGTCAACAGCAACAAATTTTTTTATTTATGTAAAACAAATGTAAAGTGAATTGTCCATAAATGCTTATTTGGCACTATAGGCTTTGCAGACCATAAAACATCTGTTAATAAGGCATACACTCATCTAGAACACTACTAGTATGGCTCCCTCCTCCTTCAGTAGATCAACATTACTAGGTGTTGAATCGTATGCTGCTAAGTGTCTTACTAAAGCACCTATGTTCAATTTGATTTAAATCTGGTAATCGTGCTGACCACTTTTCACTTGATACCCTCTCCTTCCAGGAAGATACTGGACAGTTGAACATATTATCGTCCATTAGAACAAAGTTCTGACCAAGTGTGCACAACACTAATAGTCGTAAGGTTGCATCTGAATATCCCATAGCATTCACAGTGCCACGATGTAGCCCAAAATGTCAGGTGGTTACTAACTGACCCCTTCTTAAGCCATTATGACAACACAGCTTCATACACGTCTTTCATCTGTAAAACTGAGATTGGATCTAGTACCAGGCAATATCCAAATGTATACATGTGTAGTACCTCGCTGTGAAAAAAAAAAAAGGCATTTACCTGCATGTCGTTTGACCAATACACATATTCTTGGCATTATTGATGACAGACCATTGGTCATTTGGCATAATGGTCAATCCAAACCATGTCTGACCACTTCCATGCTCTGTACTGTCAGTTTAGTTAAGCAACCGAGGCCAGCCGGTCACTTCGAGCCGAACAGTGTCTTGTAGGGTTGTTGACAATGGTTTCTGCCCTGTCCAGACCTCTGTAATTAGAGGTGGTCTGAAAGTGATCCAGCTAACTGCATTTTGTAAGCCTTTTTGCGATCTTGTGCACATAGCCAACCTATAGCACAAATCATCGTAATATCTAAGTGTCTATGTTAGATAGAATTCTGGCAAGTTTACAATCAATCTGGGACCCCTTACATACTTGCCGTTGTTCAAACTGCTAACCGAAACACACTTTTATACACATCTAAGATTTGCATATCAGATCACAACTTGTTTTGTATAACATTGAGCTCGGCAGTGCCATTCACATTATTTAATAACAGCTAGTTTTAATATAACAATGAGCTCGGCAGTGCCATTCACATTATTTAATAACAGCTAGTTTTAATATAACAATGAGCTCGGCAGTGCCATTCACATTATTCAATAACAGCTAGTTTTAATATAACAATGAGCTCGGCAGTGCCATTCACAATATTTAGTAACAGTAGTTGTACTTTGTTATAGCCAGAATACAGAAAACTGATCATCCCTTAATTATTTTGAGCAGTTTAACAAAACCCCAAACTATACTGTTTTCATGCTTGAAACCATACAGAACCTACTCTACAGCTATTAATTAATACAATTATATACTGATAAATTTTATGAATGGTAATAATTCAGAAATCCTCACAACTTCCTGTCATATTAGGAACCACAGAGAGTTATTAAGATGTGAATAAGAATATAAGATATTGGATTATTTGCTTATTATTATTTCATACACTAGATTTTTCAAAGGTAACTTCTTCTACAGAAAATTAATAATTCAACCTCCAGTAACTACATCCATAATGTTAGTCTTCACATGAAGCTTTCTTGTAAGTAGTGAATTTTACATGTGAGAGTAACAGCTGATATAGGAAAAGATTAACTATTTACCCTATGGATGTACTTGGTGTCCCCATTATTTCTATTCATAGGACTTACTTTGATAATGGTTTTTTTTTACACTTTATCCAATGTAGGGTCTTTCTCCAATAAAATATTTCAATTTGTTTTGGCTCTTCGGAATAAATACTCCCGGTAGTGAAAAGACTTACGAGTTTTTATAATATAAAACTGATCTTTTAGTATGATCTATGATTTTAAATACAATTCTTGGAAATGCTTAAAAGAAAAAATATGCTAACATTTTTTTTTTTTATATATGTTACCACGACAAATACAAGACTTACAAAAACAATTAGAAATTTTATTATTTAAAACCTAAGAATGTCAGAATCAAATCATAAATATTGGTGAAACTTTAGAGTACCCAAAAGTTTATTTTGTAAAATCAAAATGCATATCGACAAGTTTATAAAAAATGTTTAATCTTTCGAACGAACGAGCCGACAGTCTTTTATTTCACGGTTTACGGACCACAGAAACAAAACATTTAAATATGAGAGTTACACATTGTTTTAAAACTTGGCAATGTACAACATTTTCTGAAATATCCATATTCAAATTTGCTTACAACGATACATCATAAGCTATTTGTTAGATATGACCACACACACACACACACACACACACGTGTATATATATATATATATATATATATATATATATA